CTACATCTTGCATTTTCTCCACAAGACTTGAGTCTAAAGACTTGCTTGTTTTTGCATGTTGTAGACCTATTCAGCAGCTTTCGAACAACGTAGAGTTTGTCTACAATTTCCTAGTTTAAGGTACCTTTTGATCGACATATAGAGAGGCGATGTTGCATGGCTCTGACAGGCCTTGCTATGGGATTTGCTGCACAAAACACAACTGGAGGGATTCAGTGACTACATCTTGCATTTTCTCCACAAGACTTGAGTCTAAAGACTTGCTTGTTTTTGCATGTTGTAGACCTATTCAGCAGCTTTCGAACAACGTAGAGTTTGTCTACAATTTCCTAGTTTAAGGTACCTTTTGATCGACATATAGAGAGGCGGTGTTGCATGGCTCTGACAGGCCTTGCTATGGGATTTACTGCACAAAACGCAACTGGAGGGATTCAGTGACTACATCTTGCATTTTCTCCACAAGACTTGAGTCTAAAGACTTGCTTGTTTTTGCATGTTGTAGACCTATTCAGCAGCTTTCGAACAACGTAGAGTTTGTCTACAATTTCCTAGTGTAAGGTACCTTTTGATCGACATATAGAGAGGCGGTGTTGCATGGCTCTGACAGGCCTTGCTGGAGGATTTACTGCACAAAACGCAACTGGAAGGATTCAGTGACTACATCTTGCATTTTCTCCACAAGACTTGAGTCTAAAGACAACTTTTTTGCATGTTGTAGACCTATTCAGCAGCTTTCGAACAACGTAGAGTTTGTCTACATTTTCCTAGTTTAAGGTACCTTTTGATCGACATATAGGAGGCGGTGTTGCATGGCTCTGACAGGCCTTGCTATGGGATTTGCTGCACAAAACACAACTGGAGGGATTCAGTGACTACATCTTGCATTTTCTCCACAAGACTTGAGTCTAAAGACTTGCTTGTTTTTGCATGTTGTAGACCTATTCAGCAGCTTTCGAACAACGTAGAGTTTGTCTACAATTTCCTAGTGTAAGGTACCTTTTGATCGACATATAGAGAGGCGATGTTGCATGGCTCTGACAGGCCTTGCTATGGCATTTACTGCACAAAACGCAACTGGAGGGATTCAGTGACTACATCTTGCATTTTCTCAACAAGACTTGAGTCTAAAGACTTGCTTGTTTTTGCATGTTGTAGACCTATTCAGCAGCTTTCGAACAACGTAGAGTTTGTCTACAATTTCCTAGTGTAAGGTACCTTTTGATCGACATATAGAGAGGCGGTGTTGCATGGCTCTGACAGGCCTTGCTATGGGATTTACTGCTCACAAAACGCAACTGGAGGGATTCAGTGACTACATCTTAATTTTCTCCACAAGACTTGAGTCTAAAGACTTCTTGTTTTTGCATGTTGTAGACCTATTCAGCAGCTTTCGAACAACGTAGAGTTTGTCTACAATTTCCTAGTGTAAGGTACCTTTTGATCGACATATAGAGAGGCGGTGTTGCATGGCTCTGACAGGCCTTGCTATGGCATTTGCTGCACAAAACACAACTGGAGGATTCAGTGACTACATCTTGCATTTTCTCCACAAGACTTGAGTCTAAAGACTTGCTTGTTTTTGCATGTTGTAGACCTATTCAGCAGCTTTCGAACAACGTAGAGTTTGTCTACATTTCCTAGTTTAAGGTACCTTTTGATCGACATATAGAGAGGCGATGTTGCATGGCTCTGACAGGCCTTGCTATGGCATTTACTGCACAAAACGCAACTGGAGGGATTCAGTGACTACATCTTGCATTTTCTCCACAAGACTTGAGTCTAAAGACTTGCTTGTTTTTGCATGTTGTAGACCTATTCAGCAGCTTTCGAACAACGTAGAGTTTGTCTACAATTTCCTAGTGTAAGGTACCTTTTGATCGACATATAGAGAGGCGGTGTTGCATGGCTCTGACAGGCCTTGCTATGGGATTTGCTGCACAAAACACAACTGGAGGGATTCAGTGACTACATCTTGCATTTTCTCCACAAGACTTGAGTCTAAAGACTTGCTGTTTTTGCATGTTGTAGACCTATTCAGCAGCTTTCGAACAACGTAGAGTTTGTCTACAATTTCCTAGTGTAAGGTACCTTTTGATCGACATATAGAGAGGCGATGTTGCATGGCTCTGACAGGCCTTGCTATGGCATTTACTGCACAAAACGCAACTGGAGGATTCAGTGACTACATCTTGCATTTTCTCAACAAGACTTGAGTCTAAAGACTTGCTTGTTTTTGCATGTTGTAGACCTATTCAGCAGCTTTCGAACAACGTAGAGTTTGTCTACAATTTCCTAGTGTAAGGTACCTTTTGATCGACATATAGAGAGGCGGTGTTGCATGGCTCTGACAGGCCTTGCTGGGATTTACTGCACAAAACGCAACTGGAGGGATTCAGTGACTACATCTTGCATTTTCTCCACAAGACTTGAGTCTAAAGACTTCTTGTTTTTGCATGTTGTAGACCTATTCAGCAGCTTTCGAACAACGTAGAGTTTGTCTACAATTTCCTAGTTAAGGTACCTTTTGATCGACATATAGAGAGGCGATGTTGCATGGCTCTGACAGGCCTTGCTATGGGATTTACTGCATAAAAACGCAACTGGAAGGATTCAGTGACTACATCTTGCATTTTCTCACAAGACTTGAGTCTAAAGACTTGCTTGTTTTTGCATGTTGTAGACCTATTCAGCAGCTTTCGAACAACGTAGAGTTTGTCTACATTTCCTAGTTTAAGGTACCTTTTGATCGACATATAGAGAGGCGGTGTTGCATGGCTCTGACAGGCCTTGCTATGGGATTTGCTGCACAAAACGCAACTGGAGGGATTCAGTGACTACATCTTGCATTTTCTCAACAAGACTTGAGTCTAAAGACTTGCTTGTTTTTGCATGTTGTAGACCTATTCAGCAGCTTTCGAACAACGTAGAGTTTGTCTACAATTTCCTAGTGTAAGGTACCTTTTGATCGACATATAGAGAGGCGATGTTGCATGGCTCTGACAGGCCTTGCTATGGCATTTACTGCACAAAACGCAACTGGAGGGATTCAGTGACTACATCTTGCATTTTCTCCACAAGACTTGAGTTTAAAGACTTGCTTGTTTTTGCATGTTGTAGACCTATTCAGCAGCTTTCGAACAACGTAGAGTTTGTCTAAAATTTCCTAGTGTAAGGTACCTTTTGATCGACATATAGAGAGGCGGTGTTGCATGGCTCTGACAGGCCTTGCTGGAGGATTTACTGCACAAAACGCAACTGGAAGGATTCAGTGACTACATCTTAACTTTCTCCACAAGGACTGAGTCTAAAGACCTTCTTGTTTTTGCATGTTGTAGACCTATCCAGCAGCTTTCGAACAAAGTAGAGTTTGTCTACAATTTTCTAGTTTAAGGTACCTTATGATCGACATATAGAGAGGCGGTGTTGCATGGCTCTGACAGGCCTTGCTATGGCATTTACTGCACAAAACGCAACTGGAGGGATTCAGTGACTACATCTTGCATTTTCTCAACAAGACTTGAGTTTAAAGGCTTGCTTGTTTTTGCATGTTGTAGACCTATTCAGCAGCTTTCGAACAACGTAGAGTTTGTCTACAATTTCCTAGTTTAAGGTACCTTTTGATCGACATATAGAGAGGCGATGTTGCATGGCTCTGACAGGCCTTGCTAGGGGATTTACTGCACAAAACGCAACTGGAAGGATTCAGTGACTACATCTTGCATTTTCTCCACAAGCCTTAAGTCTAAAGACTTGCTTGTTTTTGCATGTTGTAGACCTATTCAGCAGCTTTCGAACAACGTAGAGTTTGTCTACAATTTCCTAGTTTAAGGTACCTTTTGATCGACATATAGAGAGGCGATGTTGCATGGCTCTGACAGGCCTTGCTGTGGCATTAACTGCACAAAACGCAACTGGAGGGATTCAGTGAATACATCTTGAATTTTCTCTACGAGACTTGAGTTTAAAGACTTGCTTGTTTTTGCATGCTGTAGACCTACTCAGCGGCTATCGAACAACGTAGAGTTTGTCTACAATTTCTTAGTTTAAGGCACATTTTGATCGACATATAGAGAGGCGGTGTTGCATGGCTTTGACAGCCCTTTTGCTATGGGATTTACTGCACAAAACGCGACTTGCGGGATTCAGTGACTACATCTGGGATTTTTTCCCCAAGTGTTTAGTCTCAAGACTTACTTGTTTTTGCATGATTTAGACCGACTCAGCAGCTTTCGAACAACGTAGAGTTTGTTTACAAGTTTCTAGTTTAAGGCATCGTTTGATCGACATATAGAGAGGCGGTGTTGCATGGCTCTGACAGGCCTTGCTATGGGATTTACTGCACAACACGCAACTTGTGGGATTCAGTGACTACATTTTAGATTTTCTCCACAAGACTTGGGTCGCAAGACTTGCTTGTTTTTGCATGTTGTGACCTTCTAAACAGCTTTCGAAGTTTGTCTATTATTTTCTAGTTTAAGTTACCTTTTGATCGACATAAGGAGAGTCGGTGTTGCATCAGGTGTTGCGTTGTTTTACACTTCATACAGCTGTTTGGTTGCCGTGCTGCAGCACCCTCTGTGTGCACACCCGCCGAGCTCATGAATAAAAGTTATACCCTGGAAATATTATATATTAGAGCCTTTCCGAGAGCCATAAAATTGGGGAATTGAAGGGATATGGCAATGATCAACTCTGGACCGGACTTGGTGCTTCAATTCTGAGCAATTTAAATGCAATCGGGCTCGAAAGTGGCATTATTTTGCCATGTTGTGGAGGGATCTTTTTTCAAGATGGCTTCTTTTCCGCTTTTTGAAAAAAAAGGTCGTCTTCTTTTAGTGAAAATTCCTCGGAAAGTCAATGATCAACCCATTGAAAGGAAAATGAAAGATGACATGTTGATCATCATTATACTGTGCAGCTAAAATACCTGTGAGAGTTCTGAGTATTTTTAAAAGAATTCTGAATTCTGAAGTATGGGCATTTAGAACTAGTGTTTTATGGGAATTTTATTGCACTGTTGCACCCCTCTATTATTTTGTTTTTAGAGCACCCTCGATTTGTTTTCAGAGCGCCCTCTATTTTTTATCGCAAAGATTCACCGTGTGGTGGCGCTGTGCTGATTCCAATAGGGCGGTTCCAAACAAGTTTGACCTAGCCCCTGCAGTATATATCATCAGAACCTTCAACTTTCATGACATGTACTCGTACTCTGATCTGCGCAGTTCCGCTTCAACTTTCGTCTTGTGCGTACACTGATTACTGTGCCTAGCGAACCAGGCAGAACTTTACAGATTATCATATCGGTAAGTTTTCCATTTTGATGCCGTTGTTTATGCCAGTATTTCTTTCGTGGGGATCGTCAAACATGTTGTTTCAAATGTATTTCCGGGGTCCGGTTGTCGGTGTTGAACTTCGAACGTCATAATTGCAACTGCAGTGCAAGTGGGCAATGCGACCTTGTTGTTAAAAGGTACTCCTACTCCTAGAACTACATGAACTATGACTATGAGGCTCCGGGAAAAGTTCCATACTCGGATGTCAATTTATCTGTTGCCAAACATATTAATTGTCACCTCACCTTGTCATTTGAACCAAGAGAAATCCAGGAAGCTGTGTTAAGGTGAAAAAAAATTACTCAAAATGTGTTTTTAGAGCACATTTTGGATGCATACGTCGTGCAGAACTAACTTGAAGCAGCCGGTCAAAACTGATTGTAGTGGCTGAAAGACAGCGGTACGTTATACACGTGACATCAACAACCATGACGTCGCATGAGCCTGCCAATGATAGTGCAATACGTCATTATGAATATTTATTTTCTCATGAATATTTAGTTTATTTCAATGGATACTTCAAATACGTCCAAAGATTGATGTTTGCAACAGCGATCGTGCGCGGCCTAGCGGTTAAGAGTCTCGTGTATCAAGCAAGCGTCAGAGGTTCGAATCCCGATGAAGTAACTGACTGATTAATAAATAGAAATTAAGGAAAGGAGAGGGTGAGAGTAGAGGAGGGAAAGTGGAGGAATAACCATAAAAGATGTAACTTTTGGCGCTAGAAAATTAATTGAAAAAAGTGACGTCCGAGTATGGAATTTTTTCCGAGGCTCCACTGCGTGGAGCCTCATAGTTCTAGAAGTAGTTAAAAGGCATATAGCGTTCAATTTGGTTAACCAGCCAATACGGCCGGGTGTGCATAAAATGCGGGGGGGGGGGGGGGGGGGGGGGGGATGTTGCATCCTGACGCCACTTCAGCTGTTGTGAAAGTCTACTGAGAGTCAACACAAACTTAACTTCAAAGTATTTCCGAAATTGGAAATGTTTCTCGGTCCCGAATTTGGGTTTTATCATCATTTTTGCAATGAATGACCTGCATTGAGATGCAAAGAAGAAAGTAGCGTCAGGTTGCAACATGCTTTCCTGTAAGGGTAGTACGAGAACCAGCAGACTTAACTGGGACCTCGAGTGCTGAATTGAAAAAGGAAAGATTTCCATATTTGGCCATCACTTTTCACCATTTGCACAAGGCATAGGCCTACATGAGACTGGTCTGAAAACGTTTTCTCTTAAATGTTTTCTCAGTAAATAGTTCAATTTTTCCCTGCTAAATTTGACTTTTTAGGACCTATTATACAAACATGACAAATAATGAATGTTTGTGAGTGCAATGGTAAGAATAATTTCATGAAGTGACAGATGAAATGTTCCATTCCACGATGCGAAGCCGAGTGGATAGGAACATTTCATCTGTCACGGAATGGAATTATTCTTTCCATTGCAAGATTGTGAAACATGCATTATTTGTTTTATATAACACCTGAATAAATCCTTGTCATCTGATCGGTTGACTTTTAATAGCCAGTTTATTCAGATTAAAAACTGTCTAAAATTTCGACAAAATCATCATATTAAATGTATGCAAACTGTTCAACAGGTTGAGAACAATCATATTCAATATATCTCGATTTAAAACAGCGCCACCACCAACCGGCAGCAGTGACACCATCCAATGGAAGTTCTATTCACCGTGCAATATAACTTCCATTGCACTGTGCGCTGCGTGCCACGCGCGCACCGTGCGTTGTGACGAATAATTCAATGACATATGATCAACGATCCACCAATCTGATGATGGGGATTTATTCAGGTGTTGTATATAATAATTATCATCACTTTCTGATGGCTGATCGGTCACTGAAGGGGAAAATGAGTGATGGCCAGATATGGATATCTTTCCCTGAAGGGAAAAAAATGCAAAAATAAATCAGGCCAACTTGACTCACTCGTTCACCTTCGGCTGATAAAATCCTCCAAAAATGTTCATGAGGCAAAGACAAGGTCCTCATCAGTATTTCACCAGCCAAGATTGAAGTCGCACGTCATTTTTTAAAGGAGACTTTTCTTCAATATTTTGCACATGAGAGGGAAGTCAAGTGATATCATCAACTTACATGTAACTGAGGCCAAAGACTGGACTGGAAACTTGTAGAAATAGAGACTAGGTCGTGAATATACCAGTTTCTTTTCACACAGTTGATTAAGTTTTGGGATTTTACCAAATTTGTGGACTAAGGTACAGTTGATCACCATTGAGGAAAGTCAAAATTATTATAATGCAAAATAATGTTAAGTGGACAAACATAGTTATTTTTGCATATATCCTTTGTCATTAACCTATCTATGGTCAAGATATCGGTTGAGGTGTATGATAGTTTTTTTACAAGTGAATCTGTGTTGAGTAGAAAGCAAGTGTTGAAATCTTCAAATTCCATCCTTTATATGACCCCATACAAATACATGTAAGTTGCACTGTGAAGTCATAAAAAGCTTATCAATCCATAGTATATTGCCAAGTACTGATAATATGATATATACCAAATTTATTGTCCCGTCGAGGCCCATAAAGGCGACTATCGCACTGTTAGTCCCAACCAGATCAGTGTTCGCACTTCGCATTTATATTAGGCATGGAAGACTAGTGAATTTCAATAGTTGCAATAAAAAGTCATGACTAGTGGACTAGTTGCGACTAGTAACACAGTATTTATTTACAGCAACACATCTAACATACATACATACATGTGAGGGTCTGCGCATTTGGGGCAGAAAATACAACAGGCAGGTCAGGTTGCCGTGATCGGACGGTTCCATATTGTTCAGGGATATTTTGACAGAATTAATTATTATTATTACATCTTGTGTAAAGTAAAGGCAGATTCTAATGAAAAATGGTTTGATCAATGAGTATACATGTATAATGGAATGAAGTAAAGCAAACATCTTTCATTTCACATCCCCCCATGCATTTTTTTCAGTGAAATTCAGAAGCCATTCCCATGGGTACTTTCAAATGTTCCGTTAAAATCACTTGTGAATAATGACTGGATAAGGCCCCCCCCCCCCCAAAAGTTCTGCTTCCAGTTTCCCTACCTACCCTATTCTGACAGCCCCTACCCTAATTTTTTTTGTACCCTAATGGTAAAAGGTAAAGGTAAAGGTACCCATAGCCATTACTGGCCGTAGGGGCAGTGGGATGTTAGAGGTCCACTGTGTCTTGGGCACGGCATATGAGTGGCGGGGCCCAGTCCTCTCCTCTCGCCGTCTTACCTTCCCTGAACAAATCAGGTACCCATTTTACTCTTGGGTCGTCAGAGAGAGTTTTCCAGTTTTTGGTCCGAATGGGATTCGAACCGCCAACCTTCCACTCCGTAGCTCCACGCTCTAACCGCTCGGCTACGAGGCCCCTCCTAATGGGAATGAGAAAAAAACACCCAACTACATCAATTCCTAAGTTTTGATTGAAAGTAATACCTGGGGTATTACTATGGCTTTCTGTCTCAGAAAATGTGTTTCCTTTTACTGCCCCCCCCCCCCCCCCAAAAAAAGGCCCAATGATGTTTCTGAGCCCCAAGTGATGGATGCTTAATAAATCCACGGGAATGTTGTGGGAAAAAATCATGTTTTCTCTTCTCTTATTAAATTTACAGAGACATTTTTAATTGTGTTTGGTTTGAATAAAAAACAATTTGTAAGAAAACGTTTGGTTGAACCATAGAGCAACGACCCCATGGTTGAAGTGCTCGACAGCAATTGCACACAGTCATTTCATCTCATTGTCATCTTTGTGAAGATCGACATTTATTCACCGTTGCATCATCATGTCCAAGTTACATCTCATGCTGAACTCACGTCATCGACAAGAGGTATAATATAGGCTTCTCCAATTTCCAATTCTCATTTCCAGCCCAATCTACTGATACCATGGCAACCCAGGTTTTAGAGGTCGGTCTGGCTCAAAATGCTGCCAAGGCTAGTAACACCTTTGCATCTAATCTCTTCCGAGTGTTGACTGAGGGAGGAAGCTCCAACATCTTCTTTTCTCCTATGAGCATCTCCACTGCACTTGCTATGACCTTCATGGGGGCACGTGGTGAGACAGCAAGCCAGATGAGTCAAGCACTTCACTTCAACATCTTGGAAGAATCTGTTCTTCATCAGTCATTTGCCGACCTGAGTGCTCTGATTTTCCGCGCTGATGCTCCTTACACTCTGAAAACAGCCAACAGACTGTTTGGCCATAAAGGTTTGGATGTCCTTGCGACATTTGTTGATGACAGCAAGAAATACTACGGAGCCAGTATGGAGACACTTGATTTCATTGGTGATGGGGAAGGCTCTCGTCTACACATCAACTCCTGGGTGGAGAAGCAAACTGCAAACCGCATCAAAGAGTTACTTGCTGCAGGATCTATCGATGCTTTGACCCGCTTGGTGCTGGTCAATGCCATCTACTTCAAAGGGGACTGGGCAGCCAAGTTTGAAGTCTCAAACACATCTCCTGAGAAGTTTCACGTTTCGGCAACTGAGGATATTGATGTTCCCATGATGCATCAGAAAGGCAAGTTCAATTTTGGTCGTGACGATTCTGTGAGCAGTTCTATCCTGGAGCTTCCTTACATCAAGGAGGAAGTGAGCATGTTCATTGTGTTACCTGATCAAGTGGATGGGCTGGCTGATGTGCGGAAGAAGTTGAGTCAAGAGATGATTGACTCCTGGGTGACAGAAGCTCGTTTGCGTGACAGTCCTACTGTCATTGTGTCTCTGCCAAAGTTTACCCTGGAGCAGGACTTTGTCTTGAATGATGTCTTGAGGAAGATGGGTATGAATGATCCATTTGATGCTAGCAAGGCTGACTTCTCAGGGATGACAGGGGACAAAGATCTCTTCATATCCAAAGTGATCCACAAGGCTTTCTTAGACGTGAATGAAGAAGGCAGTGAGGCAGCAGCTGCTACAGCAGTAGT